GATCTTAAAGGTCTTTGCCAACCTCAACGATTCTGTGATTCTATGATTCCATGTGAAAGCACAAACAGCCTCAAGAACTGTAAAAAACCAGCAGACATAAAAATCCAGCGGACTGAAGCAGGATCCTTCCGCTCAGCCCTGGGACAGCGTAGGTCGAGCTGCCACGGGGACAGCAGAGGACTTCCCCAAAGTCCTGCCAGCTCGTGCTCCTACAGCTCTGCTGAGGGTTTTGCACCAACCATCACCAAAAAGCACCCATGTGGCGCGACGCCGCTGCCCTCAGCCTCCCCACGCAACAAGGAGCAGCTCCGCACCGAGGCACGGGAGAATGCAACCACGCCGGGACTGGCGGCGGGCAGGCGTGGCAGCCTCCTGTCAGCCAGCGCGGCACAAAGGCGGGCGCTGCCAGGATCTACCCACCTGGAGGGGTGACACCAGGTCCCAGGGAGGTGACAACAGGCGTCGGGACAGACGGAGGAGGAGGAGCGTCGGCGAAGAGCTGATGGGGCCGATCCGCCTGCGAGAGCGGGTTCTGGGCTGCCAGGAGACGCTCGGCGGCCGAGCCGTGCCGCTCGCCTTTAGAATCTTTTTTGAAGGCGTAGGAAACGGTGATGGGCCTGTTGCAGAGGTACTGTCCGTTCATGGCCTCGATGGCAGCGTCCGAGGCATCGAAGCTGGCGAAGTTGATGAAGGCGTAACCCTTCGAGTTGCCCGTGTCGGGGTCCCGCATGATCTTGGGCGTCTGCAGGATGACCCCAAAGGCGCTGAAGGTGTCGTACAGCAGCTTCTCATCGATTTCGGGGTCCAGGTTGCCGATGAAGATGTTGGCCCCCACGTCCAGGTTTTTGTTGTGAGCCGAGGCTTTGTTCACTCGGATCGGCTTCCCGTACAACTTGATCATGTTCATGATCTTAATGGCGTAATCTGCGTCCTCCTCGCTGAGGAACTCCACAAACCCATAGCCTGCAACAAAGCCCCCAAACAGAGCTTTAGGAGAGGGCGGACCCACGGCCTCCTGCAGCTCATCCGACCCCGCCTGATTTAAAACCAGAGCACCCAAGGCTCCTTTGAAAAAAACCAGAGCTTCCCTAAGGGCAAGACGATCTCGCCTGGGGATCATCCATTCCTCACCTCTCTTCCCATACCAATCTCTCTGTGACTGTCCCCAACTAAAATATTTTATTCAACGGGAAGCTTTTGAGAGAAACCAGCAAATATCTCACCTTGGTGCTGGCCCGTGACTCGATCCTTGGGCATATGGGTATTGACCACCGGTCCCGCCTGGAGAAAGAGCTCCCAGAGCAGCGGCTCACTGACCTTCTCATCCAAGCCCCCGACGTACACCGTCGCATCTTGAGCGGAGAG